CCACTTTTTCTCAGCTCTCACCGAACGGCTTTTATTCAACGATACGTCAAAAGATCACAAATTGTATCTAGTCGAAGACATTACCCTTCAAAATTGAAAAAATTTCCCTCGTTCCCCGTAAATGGGGGAAACCTCCAAAAAAATTACAAATTTAAAAATCGCTAATTTTCGAAATTTTTTCAATTTTTTTTACTAAAAACTGCCGTAACTTTTTCAAAAATGAACATATCAATATAATTTTTTTTTATATAGATGCTTGATGTCTTTACCTATCATTTGGTATATTTTTTTTGTAAATCTGACACTTAACCTGCCCACAGGGGGGGATTTAAAATGACAACTTTTTCACAAAAAATTAACTTTTTCAACTTAACTTTTGAAAATGTTCCGGAAGGTCTGACACTTTTATATATATCTTAAATTAAAGCTAATGTAATATACTTTAATTTGAAAAAAAAAAATTTGACCTCTGGACTTGTCTTCGTGGTGAAAGTTGACATCAAAGTTAATAAAAAATTACGATTTTTGTAAAATAATTTTTTTTTATATTTTTAACTTAATAATGCTCTAACTTTTTCAAAAATGAACATATCAATATAATTTTTTTTTATATAGATGCTTGATGTCTTTACTTATCATTTGGTATATTTTTTTTGTAAATCTGACACTTAATCTGCCCACAGGGGGGGATTTAAAATGACAACTTTTTCACAAAAAATTAACTTTTTCAACTTAACTTTTGAAAATGTTCCGGAAGGTCTGACACTTTTATATATATCTTAAATTAAAGCTAATGTAATATACTTTAATTTGAAAAAAAAAAATTTGACCTCTGGACTTGTCTTCGTGGTGAAAGTTGACATCAAAGTTAATAAAAAATTACGATTTTTGTAAAATAATTTTTTTTTATATTTTTAACTTAATAATGCTCTAACTTTTTCAAAAATGAACATATCAATATAATTTTTTTTTATATAGATGCTTGATGTCTTTACTTATCATTTGGTATATTTTTTTTGTAAATCTGACACTTAATCTGCCCACAGGGGGGGATTTAAAATGACAACTTTTTCACAAAAAATTAACTTTTTCAACTTAACTTTTGAAAATGTTCCGGAAGGTCTGACACTTTTATATATATCTTAAATTAAAGCTAATGTAATATACTTTAATTTGAAAAAAAAAAATTTGACCTCTGGACTTGTCTTCGTGGTGAAAGTTGACATCAAAGTTAATAAAAAATTACGATTTTTGTAAAATAATTTTTTTTTATATTTTTAACTTAATAATGCTCTAACTTTTTCAAAAATGAACATATCAATATAATTTTTTTTTATATAGATGCTTGATGTCTTTACTTATCATTTGGTATATTTTTTTTGTAAATCTGACACTTAATCTGCCCACAGGGGGGGATTTAAAATGACAACTTTTTCACAAAAAATTAACTTTTTCAACTTAACTTTTGAAAATGTTCCGGAAGGTCTGACACTTTTATATATATCTTAAATTAAAGCTAATGTAATATACTTTAATTTGAAAAAAAAAAATTTGACCTCTGGACTTGTCTTCGTGGTGAAAGTTGACATCAAAGTTAATAAAAAATTACGATTTTTGTAAAATAATTTTTTTTTATATTTTTAACTTAATAATGCTCTAACTTTTTCAAAAATGAACATATCAATATAATTTTTTTTTATATAGATGCTTGATGTCTTTACTTATCATTTGGTATATTTTTTTTGTAAATCTGACACTTAACCTGCCCACAGGGGGGGATTTAAAATGACAACTTTTTCACAAAAAATTTACTTTTTCAACATAACTTTTGAAAATGTTCCGGAAGGTCTGACACTTTTATATATATCTTAAATTAAAGCTAATGTAATATACTTTAATTTGAAAAAAAAAAATTTGACCTCTGGACTTTTCTTCACGGCGAAAATGGCTACCGAATGCTATTTTCGTGTGAAAATTCTCGATTTTATTATTCATATTATATTTAACTTTATAATGCTATAACTTATTGAAAAGTTTATGGATCCACACAATTTTTTTATGAGAAATAATATTTTTTAATAAACCCTTTTTCATTCGACATACTTTATCTTAATCGAGATATTAAGGAACCAGCAGATCAAGTAGCTTTTGGAATAAAACACCAATTTTTTTAAAATTAAACACTAAAGATTTGCATCGAAGCGTTTATTTTTGATAGTGATTTTAATCACTGTCAGATATCATTTACTTGATCCAACTATGCCACGTCACAACTGTGCCGCGACCCCCCTGTGCTGGGTTTTTTTTCTTTTGAGTCGAAAAAATTAACTTTAACATTTAAATCAGCTTAAATTTCCAATTTTATATATTTTAGTGTTATGGCTGATTTCTCATTTATAAATAAATAAAAATGGTTCTTTTGCTTGTGAAATATTTTTGTTTAGAAAAAGGAGTACAAATTAAAAATATATTTGAATTTAGAAAAAATGTCTGAATGGAAAGAAAATAATACTTCAACTAAAGGGCGTTGGCTAGAATTTTTTAATTTTATGAAAAATTAAGATTTTTCAGTAAAAATCCTAGAAATAGTGTACTAGTTTGTATTAATTCCACCTGGTACAAGGGCACTGATAGAAAAACTATTTTCACATAGCAATAAATATTGAACATTCAAAAAATAATAATTAAATGTATTAATTTAAAGTCAGTAATGATAGTTTTTAAAAACTATGATGAAAATTGTAACAAAATGTTTAAACCCTTAAAATCGGACACCGAGTTACTAAAAGTAATTCGTGGATGTCAAAAATATATTTTAATTTTATTATGTTTCAATTAAAAATACTGTTATAAAGGACACATGTTATTTTTTTTAAAATTAAATTCTATGTTTTTATAATAAATATGTAGGAAACATATTATTTATTATTTTGTATTTATTCATTTAAATTTAACACTTGGTATTTTTATCTTGAAAACTAATTTAAATATTTATAATTTAGTTTAAGTTTACATAAAAAAAATCAAATTTAAAATATTTTCATCTTAAAGACACACACCAAATTAGATGACATAATTTCAAATAATTAGTTTTTATTGTTGGTAATAGAAAAAAATAATAGAGTAATCAAATAAAAAAACGATAGCATAGTGTGGACGAAGCATAGTTGGGACAAGTATTGATGATATTTTGACACGGTACCGTATACTTTGAGAAAGGTTTAATACACGGTAACCTCGTCTCTTCCATCAGTCGCCTTATTAAATCGCGAGCCAAACCTGGGGGTCTATTTTTGAATTTTATATTGATGTACTAATCTGTTTAGTATACTAAAACATGGCGTTTTAGTGCAACTATTAGTGTGAAACTAAAAAACCGTATTTTTGAATGTTGGTATGCTAAAAAATATTTATTAGTGTACTAAAGTTTTAGATGATCTTTTTAGAATGGTATCTACCACACTAATTATGATTTTAGTATACTAATGTTACTGTTATCATTCATATTTATATGAAAACTTATATATTTATAACGTTTTCAAATTTATTTAATATTAAATATTAAAATGGAACACTTTCTTAATATAAATTATGAGCAAGTTATTAGTAATATGAAATAGTTGAAGATAATGGCCATTCAACAATGAAATTTAGTTAGCGGAGGATCCGTTCATTGGTATGTTACAAGACAAATTACAATATGTAAAATTATATATTTACATTAATAAAATGTTATTTTCTGTAATTTTGTCCGAAAGGGCATTTATTCAAAAATTTAGACTGACAAAAGTTCTTGCATTAAATTTAATTAATGAGCTACGCCCATATTTAGACCCCCCATTGAGGAAGTCTGCTCTAAGTATAGAGCGCAAAGTATGCAAAATATTGTACAATATTGACTAAACAATAAGTAAAATTTAATAAAATTTTTGTCACGATAGGTACTAACAGCTTTACGATTTTTCGCTAGTGTCTTCTTTGGGCCAACAGTTTCATTTAAAATCTTGGTAATATTTTGCCATAATAATTGGGCATCTTTCATGGTAAAAGATGGTCCAAATTTTTAAAATTTAATTTTGGGTGCTTATAAATAAATTCAATTAATAATTGTTTTTGTTCATAAGTCACATTTATTGACTTTTTTCCCCTCCATTGTAAAACATTACACAAATTGAAATAAAAAATACTGACAAAAAACTCGTGACAAATTTCTTATGGGTAAATTTTGTAGTTAACATAAATATTATCAAGTATTAACTATAAAATTAATATAAAATACAGTACAACCAATATAATTTAACATATCGCACTAATAATTATTGGTTTGAAATGACATTAGATTAGACGCTGTACGATTAGTGCAAGATTTTTAGACTGATAAAAAATAAAATTCAAAAATACGAATTTCCATTAGTGCACTAAAATCATAATCTAATGTTTTAATGTACTAAAACATTCGCCAATGATTAGTCCAAGCTCAAAAATAGACCCCCTGATTAGAGTACCTCCGCTAAGTAGCTAGGGAGCAAATTCTATCAACTGAACCGCAGTAGGTGAACGCTCTGTCTTGCTTTTGTATGTCCTACATGAATCATCTCTGTCCGTTGTACACTGGAAGTTATTTTTCTTTATATCTTTTATAATAATATATACTTGTTATGAATGTGTTAAAACTTTCATGGATTGTTTTGTTGCTTGAAGTGCTTGAGGATATATCCATGTTTACAGTTGAGTTCTGACGTTTCGGACTCATTGCAGAGTCCATCTTCAGAGTGATGGTTGCTAGTCGGTGGCTGCAACTATACTATATTATATACTTGTATTTTCTTTTTTTTTTTGTCAGTTTAATTTTAAATAAATATTTAAAATTTTTTTTTTCTTTCGTTTTTGTCCTCTCGTCTAGTGCCGTAACATGTATTTATATATATACTATTATTAAATCATTGGGTGTTAGTGCTACCTCAATTATATTTTCAATATTTATTGACACTGAAACTATCAGTGTCAATATGACAGTGAATAAGATGTACAGATTTGTTTAATTTTAAGAAATAGGCGGATTATTCCAAAAGTAACATGAACTCTTATTTCCTTATTTATATTCTGATTACAAGTTTTATAATGTATAAGTGTAATATATAAATAAATATTTTTATAGCAATTAAATATAGTATGATATTGATATTTAATAATTTAGCATTGTAAATTTTATGGAGAAATTATAAAAAATTGTTTAGTAGATATTAGTTACTTAGTATTTAATAGATGAAATACTTGAAAAAAAAAAAATTTATTACTTATAAATAAATTTATTGGTCTACAAGGAATTTTCATCAGAGACCAAAATATACTTTTCTATACCCATTTTCGCGCCTTTTGGAATCTGCAATTATAATGTTGCATATGGACTAAATAATAACAAAATCTTTCTAATTAATATACTAAATATTTATGTTTGATTATAAGGTTACGTATGAATAATTAATAAATAAATTTAAATTTAATAAATTTAAAATAAATTTTAATTAAAAAAATACGTTACAAGCAGATGGTATTATGTGCAGTATATGTATATAAATAATTATTTAAACACTAGGAGTTGCTTAGAAATTCTTTGTAATTCTTATATTTAAACGATTTATTACAATAAAATAAAAAATTTTTAACGAAATTTTGAGATTTCCTCATAAATTTACTGTTAATAGTAATTAAATAAATTACTGATCACTTATCAATCTAAAAAGTAGGAATTCTATTCTACATAAATTTTTTTATTTAGTGATATAAATTCCATGTTGCAAGTTAAACTAAAATTGTGTTTAAAAAATTAACATTTTTAAATTATAAAATTTCATAAAAATAAACTTAAAAGGATCAAAAAAATAAGTTAAAAATGTCATTTTCAATTGAAATTTAGCACGGATTAACATCCGTTTAAATATGTTTTAATATGTTTAACGTATTAAAAATTCATAATCAGTTAAAAAAAAAAAAAATTTTTTAATTAAATATTAAATATTAAACTGCTAAAGTGGTAGGGATTTTGTCTTCTTCTTTGCCAAATCCACACGTTCTAAAGCAGTTATGAATCGTTTGTACAGTCACATTGTTCCAAGCTTTATAGCTAATCATTATAGCAGTCAAAATAGTTACTTTCGGAAAATCGTTATTTTCCAAGCAGTTCAAAAATTCAGAAACAATTTCCTTTCGATATAAAACTTTAAATTTTTTAATTATCCCTTGATCAAGAGGTTGGAGTTTTGAAGTCGTGTTTGCCGGCAAGAATACAATTTCGCACGTTAGAGAGAGTAGAGAGATTGTTATGGGCAGTGCAATTATCAACGAATATGATAATTTTTCTGCGTTGTTTTTGCATGTCATTTTTGAGGGTTTCAAGCCATTCGTTCCACAGTTTGGTAGTCATCCACGATTTTCTGTTGTTTTTATACGTCACCGGCAAAGATTTGACGTTTTTAAAGCACCTAGGTTTAGCAGATTTACCTATAAATAAGGGCTTCAACTTCTCCGAACCATCTATATTTACCCCAAAAATTAATGTAACTCGCTCCTTACTCAGTTTCCCTCCATGGTACTTTTCATTTTTATACGTTAGTGTTCGGTCTGGTAAACATTTAAAAAATAGTCCTGTCTCGTCAGCATTGAACACATTTTTCGGATCGTATTCACATAACAAGTATTGAAGTTTCACCTTCCAATTCTCACAGATACCATTATGACGCTTTTTAAAATTAGACAACCAGTCATCACTAGCAGTAAAATCTGAGATTTCTAACATTTAAGCAAAACTTTTGGCTTTTTCCTTGATTAATATACCACTCACTGGAATGTTTTACTGCCTAACTTGATTGAACCAAGTGAACAAACACTGTTCTAAACGGGGAAACTCGCTTGGTCGGTTCTTTTTTCGGCTACCTTCTGCGTCAGTTTTGTTAAAAATCGCTTCTTTTTGTTTCAAAATTGTAGAAAGTGATGAAGAAGGGATTTGAAAACTATCCGCTACATCTTTGTTCCTTTTGCCACTTTCGACTGCTTCAATTATTCTTTTCTTATCAGAAATTTACAAACACTTACGTTTTAAACTCATGTTTATAAACGCGACGAGCGGAATTTCATTCGATCGCTTTTGACACAACAATCAAACTAAATTAAAACGATAACGTAAAGGTTACAATAACGTTGTAGAGTCATTTATCTTATCGCGTGATAAACGCCGAAACAAACACCGTAATATCAAGCTTTTATGATGATATTATCATATGATAATTCGTTACATAGCGAGAGCTTTGGTCAAAAAAACTTCGTTATATCGAGGGGACTAAAATTCATGTAATTTTTCGTTATATCACGAGATTTTCAAGGGACCGACAGTTTTATTTGTTATATCGAGATTTTCGTTATAACGAGCTTCGTTATATCGCGAGTTGACTGTAATTTATTTACACTTAATTAATATTATTTACTTAAATTATATTTACAATTTATTATAATTAATTGAACTGGAAAAGAGTAGTCTTAAATATAATACAATACATTTAAATTTCTGTAAAGGAATAACAGTAACTACTCAACAGATTATTACTACTTAGATTATTTCAAGTAATTACATTTTTTTATGAAAATATTTGTGCCTATAATCAATATATAACATAATAACATTAGGCTCACTTCTATCCTTTTTCCAATAACAAGTACAGACATTTGATGATATCGTGTAATTAACATGAAAAATAAACTAACATTTTAGACAAATTAGTATTTGTTAGCACACATATAAACACGAATACGGTATTTTTAGATATACACATTACAATAAATAATGAAATAAATTGGAAATTCTAATTTGTTTCATTGCACTGTGGCTTTGTTTTTTTACATTTTATGATATGAATTTTTCACTAATTATTTTAACATTATCTTTAATTCAACACAATAATTCCTCGAAAATAAAACAAAATGATTACTTAAATTATTTAAATGTAGTAGTAGATCATATATGTACTCAAAATGGATGGCAGTCTATGGAAAACTTATACTTAAACATTGATCCGATGGGAAATATAAATGTTCCAGATTTAATGGCACTAAAATTCGACAGAGATAATTTGCTTACTACCTTCTATATTATTGTTCATATTTTAAACTACAGTTATAATGAAGTACTTTTAGTATTCGTTAAATTGTTAAATATTATTGTTGATGTATGTAAACACTTTTTGGACGCCGAATTATTAGAAAATTTTTCTAATTGTACTAAAGTACTCGAAAAATCAGTAAAAGATTCATTGACAATGTTTGAGAATTTATATAATGCTATTACATTCATTACATATATAGACCTAAACTTGAAAAATCTAAAAGTTGATGTGTTACAAAATTATCTGTTCACAACAGATGACGACATTTATCAGATAAAAAACCACAATTTTTTTAAAAACGTACGAGACGAGAATTCTTATGATTATCATCAAGTATTTCTTGAGGTTAGTGATTTCATTGTTAATATATCTAAAATTGCAAATAATTTTTTTGAGAAATATAAATTTATTCAAAATATTTATGAGAATGCAGATTTTAAAACTACATGTGAAATAGAATATTCATCACACACCATATATTCTCTGGAATTTATTTCATTCATGTATCAAAAGGTCATTTCGTTTTACACTAAAACCATACAGAATAATTACGAGGATCTTGGATTTATTCAGTTAATAAATCCAAAAATTAAAAAGTAAGCATAACTTATTTATTGAATCACATATTAATGAGTATTTTCTATTCTATAGTTATAAAATAAAAGTAATTTTATTCAATATACTTTAAAATGTGTGCAGTAGTGGAGATGCGACTTTAAATATAATACCACATTTATCAATTTTAAAGCTCGCAGTAAAAAATGAGTTATAATAATATATGAATTATAATTATAATAATTGCAATATAAATTATAACAACCGATAACGACGACTTTACACACATTTAATTCCAAAAATAAATTAGGCAAAATAGTAATATACTAATAATTTACCGTATAGATGACACTGCCAGTTGTTCAAACACTGCTCGTGTGTGCATTATTCGCATATACTGAGGGAAATAACTTTAATGTTTACAAATGCAAATGTATTATAATTATTATACAATTTAAAAATTAGTATTTTTAATAAAAATGTATAATTAAGAATATACAATTAATTTTCTTCTTTTAATTAACTTTAATTTAAATCGGGTGCGATTTCCTGTCGTCCAATCCACAAGCCGCCACTGAGTATGTGTATAAATCATATATTATTTAAAGATTTGTGATTTTTCCGATAAAAATCGGTTGTATGATTAATCTGATCATGTGGTATCATATAATCACTTAACATAAAAACAGATTTTTCCGTTTGAAATTTATTAAAGTAGTATTTTACATACTAAGTTTGCATGAAAAACATATTCCTATAAAGTGTAACTATACTTTTTACTTATTTTACATCAAAAAATATAGTTTTTGTCTTTTATTTTATAATTTTTTAAAGAACAATTATTTAAAAACTAATCTATTTTCTAAATGAATTTCGTTTTTAATAGATTGATAAATATTTGATAATAAATTATACAGATAAAATGTTTTAAAGTTAACCATAACAGTTTTATAGTATGAAAATTGGAATTTCCAAAGGTGGGTTGTATAGTAGCTCAGATAAAAAAATTAAAAGAAGGATATATTGGATTTTAATTTGAATAATACATAGGTATTGGCGAGTAAGCGCCGTTATTTTTGATAACATACTGAAATGATTCAATACGATGTACGAGAGCTTTTGTGATCGAGTTACAATTAAAGAAAATATTTAGTCTCTAACGGGTGTGACTAAAAGGGTAAATCAAGGATAGACTTGAACTAAACTTTCGAATAGTCAGTATCTGGCAGAACACTCGTGTAAATGAATAAAATAAAACTAACTATATTTCCTTGTGTATACTACTTGAATCAAGCTCAGCAATAATTATTTCATACATTTTTAAATAACTTACCGAAAGTTCCCTCTGTGACTCAGAATTTTAGCTTCGATGCGAAGCGGAGAAGGTATTAATTTTACTATGATGTGTTTTTTTTTTTTTTTTTTTTTTTTTTTTTTTTT